GGGTATTTATATAGTTTTTTCATCTGGTTGGGCTATAAAAATAAATATATATAAATTAATATTAATATAAAATATATAAATAAAAATACATAAATAAATATAAGGTCAACCAGATGGAAGCTCTGGGCAGGGAAGACCAAACGGCCGTGGGTTATAGGGAGAAAGGGCAGACGAAGCGGGCGGTTTTGAGGTGCACCGGCTTCTGCATTTGAGCCCGAAACAGTCAAATCAAGTCAAGTGAAGCTTAAGATAACCCGAGAGGCTGACCGAGATTAGTCCGTTCGCAGAAATAAGTACAGGAATAGTTTCGGTCCGCAGATCACCCCACACCACCTTGTGAGCCACGTCCAGATATTTTGTTTGCTTACCTGTTTCGGCTTTCACGAGGTTCTCGTCATGCTGAATGGTAATGTCGACCAAAAATATCCTTGACTGTGCCCGGTCTATGATCGTAATGTCAGGCTTATTTTGCAAGAACAGAGACAGGACTACTGTCTGTGATGATGGCCCGGTCCCAGTAGAGCCTGGTGCGGTCATTTTCGAGCACGGCTTCCGGCAAGTACTTATAATAAGGCCGTTTCCGATGCTTGAGACCGTATCTCAAAGTAAGCTCCTGGTGTAGAATCTTGGCTACTAGATTGTCTGTGCAAGTACTCATAGTGAGAAAGCACCGAAAATCCGGAGATAACATGCCTCAGTGACTCACCAGGATGGCGACAAGCTCGACAGATGACAGCGCCATCCTTAACCTGATCCTGTATCGCACAGAAAAAACCCTCGGTCTTCCCAAATAGAGGGCGGCGAACGTATCTACGAAAGGCTCATATATACTTTGTAGTACCTCCCATGGACCTCCCTTTCTTTCTATACGGTCTCCAGGTCGGAGATGCTCTGTACTGACGCAAGCAACAATTCTAAGGACTTCTATGGGACAGGATGTTGGTTTGAAATGTTTGGCTAGCTTAGTTCCTAGGAGTATTAATTGTAAGTAATAACTTATAATCGATATATAATGACTTTCTCTTTCTCTCTCTGAAATTTTTAACCTTCATTTGGGCCCCTCGACAAATTTTGATACAGGGCGCCTCTAAGGCACGCTACTCCACTGCCTGGATGGTAAGTGGTTGCTTTGACCCATAGACATCTAATTCTATCCTCAAGAAAGAATCAAATAGCAGATGCGTTGTCACCCGTGAGGACTAAGATGGAATGCCTCTTTTCCAGTAAAAAGTGTCTCCGGTTCTCTACACTCACCATACGAAACACAACAGTGTTAAGCTGCTATTTTACGCTGGTGTTCTGTGAGAGCGTGGTCTTTCCCCGGTCGAGCCGACCATTTTATGCTACAACTATAGTACTGCAGCATTGTGCATTCTTAAGGAAAGCTTGAAGAAATAAAAGGATTCTTTATAGTTACTCGTAATAAATAACAAACTCTCCTATAGAAAATGACGTTTCTATTTCGTGTCTAAAAACGGATCGAAAACTGATATTTCCTTGGAAAACGAGAAAGATGCAGATGGTTAGCAGTTGTTTAACAATGACGATGATGGTGAACGATATTCACTTTAAAGAATCTTTCAGGATGTCAGAGACCTTCCTGTGACCAAGTTAATGAAATTCCGGGTTTGTAGACCATTATTTTTGCTTTGCTTTATTCAATACTTTTCAAGGTCTTCCAGTCAGACTTGCTAGCGCTTGGAAGCATTTGAAAGATTTATGGTTTTAGATTGAAGTGTGAGAGGCTCGCATCGATAGTGTAAATTTTTTCAATTGAAAAACACTAATATAATGAAGTTGTAGCTTTAGACCTTCTTCTTCAGTAAAATAGCTTCATTTCTCTCATCTGCTTTGGAATTTAATAGAATAGTTTTGTAAGCGCTTTTTGTACTTCAAAAAACCGAACTTTTAAAACTAATATGACATCAATACGTCCTGCACATCTAATTGAATATATGTTAAGATCATTCTGTGCTCACAGCCCTCTCAATCCGGGGGCCCTGTCCGGCTGGGGCCCCGTCGCATTTTTCCCGGCCTAGCGAATCCGACTCTAGCGTTGTTGTTAAGATTTTTAGATTAGATTTTTAGAACTATTTGTGTTTCGGTAGTTCCATGTTCCTAACTTAACCATTATCTATCGAAATGGTACAAGAAAGTAAATTTTGATAATGCAATAGAATATTTTAGCAAAATAAAGTCCCGTAAGCTTGGTTAGCATTTTTTGTCTTATTTTGTAGGGTACTTGATAGAAAACCGCCCTGGGTGCCAGCCCACGCTACAACGCCACTGGTTGACGATATTAAGACGCCGTGTTACCGACACACATCTACAGTGGAACGTTATTGTTGGAAACCCAACTGACTTTCGGTCAAATCAAAACCTACGCACGACAGATGCCCATTGAGTGAGTGGCAACTATCCTTTCGAACAATTTTTCAATCTCGTACAACGGGCAGAATCTGTGGCCCTCCTCTCCTTCTAAAGACGATCAACCTTTCTTATTTCCATGTGATGGGGAACTTGGCGCTCTGCAACAGATAGTAAACAGGCCTACTGGTAAGACAGGCTACCTAAGCCTGTCACAGCTAGTTAAACCGAGATTGTGATTTTATAAATGTATACTTTTTATTTATTTCAATAAGTTTTTGTACAGTTTAATTTTAAACAAGTAATCCTTATTCCATAAATAGTCTATAATAATAATAGGTACCTGAACACTTAGATAGTGAGGATAATTTCGACGTTTCATATATTCAAATGAACAACTTTCCAATTAATTAGGGCTAATTTCATTAAAATAAATAATCATAAATTAACTTATAACAATCAGCAACTTTTTGATATCATAGTATAACAGTTTTTTTTGTAACAATGTTCGAATTTTCAATGTGCCTCTTTAAAAACGATGCAATACCACAGATTAGTTAATAGTTTACTAAAGCAATACTGTAGGTCCCGGTTATAGGTATCTTAACTAGCAAGCGGACTATGCAGTATTAAGCTGTAAAATAACCGGTCAAGTTCGAGTCGGACTCGCGCATGTAGGCTTCCGAACCATCGTAAAACACGTTTGTAGTAGGGGAGCCCCCTTTAATTTTTAATTTATTTTTATTTTTATTCTTGCACGTTCTTCCGGTAGTACTGACCAAATTAAAGTCACACTTTTCAAAACTTATTGTCCGAGTTTTTACGCGAGAAATTTGTGAGCCCGTCACATCAAAATGTCGCTAGATGTTTTTTGCGTCCAATACAATTACATATTATGGATAATGTGGGCGGTGCCTCGTTGCTGTAGCGCATGGGATGTTTGCACAAAATCATACCAATAGTTTTCAAATACCGCACCTCTGATGAGGAGGGATAGCCCCAACACTATCCTAAAAATTGTTGTGGAGAGCTACGACTGTCCTATCTGAAAGTTGTTTGCGTAGAGTCATCCGCTAGTTAGTTCCCCAACAAAGTCGCTTCACAACGTCTGTACGCTTAGATCTTTTAAACTACGCAACAGATTTGATACGGTTTTCATCAATAGACAGGATGATTTAAGGGGAAAGTTTATGTGTATAATACATATATATTATATATTATAATTTTTCTGTCCATGTGTATGTGATTGAACAATAGGACCCGTTAGATGGCGTTGTTGTCAAGATCCAGAAATCAACTGTGCGAAGGTGGGGCGGATCGCTAGTTTATTTTTTTATTTATTAAATTATTTTGTTAAAATTAATAAAATACTAACATAGCTTATAATCTTTTTACGAACTATTCTATGGATTGTCTGAAATTATAAATTTAATTTAATTTAATTAAACATTTAAAATTTTGTCATTTGTTAAGTAACGCTATTTACGTATAAATTTTATCTGTATCGTGCAGGCATTTAAATCTTGGACATATATAAATTACGTTAAACACATGCTCAGACCTTTAACAAATTTTTGTAGATCAATTATTGGATCGGGATCCGAACCCGCGAAGCAAACCATCGCAACCAAAGGACCAAATGAGCCGTCTAACTTACGTGTTTACTGAATTTGAGTACAGCTTAAGTTTTAGATATTTGATTCTCTCAATTATTTTTGTTCTCAGTGTCGGTGGCACTCGACGTCAGTTTGGTCGAGTTGTTGGAGGTCGTACAGTAACCTCTAGCTCCTCCCTCGGCCTGAACTCATTGGGTCAAGGATACTACGATCAATACACGTCTGTTTCAAATTAAGCTCATAAACCAGGGCAGGCTGGCTCAAGATATCAGTAACTATAATACACATTTAATTAGACAATCATTACTGATTTGTTATTTGGATATGTGTCAAAGTGCAGTGAACATCTTTTCTGGAAATACATAATACATGACGTAACCTTGAATCAGGTTAAACACAAAAATGCGCTAATAAATTAAAATAATTTTATGGTAATTACTTATTTAGGCAACTTAAGTTACATAATACCAGATTGGAATAAATCAAAACTTGTATATTTGCGTATAATATTAACAAAAACTTGATCGGTTATAAACTCTATTAAATTGTGCAAAAAAGATTTAGTTTTGATATTAATGCATGTGGCCATCTTAATAATGTAAGAATATAAAATAATCTAATAAAAGCTTTTATGAATGGATCATAAATTAATGAAATAACATTTACATTTAACAATGTAATAAATAAACGTTTTGCTTGAAAAATAATCTTTTATTCTCTTAGTGTCATACCCTATTAGTAAATAATATATTTTAAGAGAGCTCTATGTGCGTACATATTATATAATAATAAAATCATGTAGTCACTACAGTAACTATATATAAAATACCCGTAGTTATCACAAATAGGAAATTATTAACTTAGTTATTTACTATATATAACTTTAAAATATTTTGCATAGTAGGATATCGTATAAAATTCATTTTATTAATCACAAACCATTAAAAAAGAAATTTTGTATTAAAATAATGGTTAGAAGTCATCCCGTTAATGGGGTGCAGAAATTTGAACATGAATTTAATAAAACTTATTGGGAAGTTCTAACCTATACTGTGGTTTTTCGTAATTGTAACCTGGAGACGGCTCCGGCGCTGGCACTGGTGCTGGCTGAGGTATTGGTGCTGGTTGGGATGCAATCGGTACTTGAGGCGGCGTCACGATAACCGCATCGTCAGTGATTGCCACATCCCTACTAAATGGCACTTGCTGACGAAATCTTGGTTGGTACACTTGTGCCGGGTAGAAATCTTGTGCTGTGTACTGAGTTGAAGGATTAAACCTATTTGGTACGCCGTATTCCGAGGGCAATTCCATACGACCAAACATATTCCCTAAAAATGGAAATTTATTGGTCAGGGTCGCCCAAAATCCTGTGCCACCGACTTGGTTACTTCCCTGTCCATTACCCCAGAAGAGTCGCTGATACTTCTCTTGCGGAATGTTATAGGTATTCGTTATTTGGTATGGATCATTCGGACCTGTGTAATAAGGTGCTTCCCTTTGGTCGTAGTAGGCTAAGGAACTACCTGCAAATTTCAATGGAATATTAATAACAAAGAGATTTACTACTTAAATTTCTTTGATTAATAAACAGTCTGAAATTAAGAACAGAGTATTAAATTGATGTTTTTCTTTAGTATAACGAAAAACTTGTTGTGTAGGCGGCATAGGAGTAGATATTTTATCGTTGCATAAGTTGTACTTAAAAGTCGATTAAGACAAGCCTATAAATAAACAAAAATAAATACCAAAATAATATAATAGTTCGGGAAAAAAATGTTTGTATAAAATTGAACAAAAATCTCGTTGGTTTTACTGTTTGTATCTGGCTGGTTTTAACATCAATACATAATATATATTGAAATTAGGTGTATATATATATATATATATATATATATATATATATATATATATATATATATATATATATATATATATAGGACATTAAGAAAAAGAAAAATAAAAAGATAAAAACACTTTCCCGCCAATTTTTAATTGTTTTCTGTCCGCCTAAATGAGTGAGTCTAATGTCTTCATTCGATACATTTTGAAGTTTTATTACGAGACATATATCATAGTAGCATAAAGTTGGTTCAACCGTTTTCAGTTCGATAATTTTGATCGCTCGCTCTGGTCGTTCTCATACGGATAAAGTGGATGCCATTTTTTAAAAAGTGGAGCAAGATCGGCATATTAGTAGGGACGACATGGCCGAGGAATTAAGGATACACCACAAAAAAGTTTGGACTCATTTGAAAAAGTATGGCTATAGAAAAAAGCTCGACATTTGGGTACCACACGAGCTCACTGAAAGAAACCTAATAAATCGTGTACTCATTTGCTATTATATTGAAACGTAATGAATCCGAACCATTTTTGAAAAAATTGATCACTGGTGATGAAAAGTAGATCACCTACGACAAGAACGTGCGAAAAAGATCATGATTTTTTGACGTGATTTTTTTAAAATAGTTCTATTTAATGAAAGGTTTAATAAACGAGAATAATATTTTGTTTTGTAGACAAAAGTGAAAGATTTCAAAAAAGATTTTCAAAGAATAATTTTACAATATTAAATTTTATAGTTGCAAATTACTCGTATTATTGCATAGCTAATGAAATTATAGTTAAGATACTATTTCTCGTTTTGTATTAAATACATCGACTAGAATTATACGTAAAAGGAGTTTGAAATTGATTAGAAAGAATGCGCGCTTCACGTACCTACGATCCCGCACAACAAATAAACAATCGATGTGTACATTTTTCCACGCTGTACTGAACTCCAACTGCATGAAATTGTTGTTCGTCTTTGCCTTTATACCTCTTCGTATTTGTTCCTAAAAGTGGGCCTTGAAGTAAAATTCTCGTAACCCAATATTGAAAGTGTGAGGTAATGGTGTGGCATCGGCTCACCCAGCGGCTAGCGTGGACAATAGGCGCGACATCTAGGTGACTCGTGCGTCGCCTGCATACACAGGCTGTGCTAAAATTCGATGCAATTGTTGCGGACCATCTTCTGCATAGTATGCAGTACGGGCAGTGATCGTAAATGGATACTACGTAGCGTTGACCATGCATTTTGCATATTTTCGATGTTTATTCCAAGCACTTATTTGGCAGGTATTATTGTGCAATTGGATTTGGATATCGATTATTCTGTCCGCATTTGTCTTCAACATCATTTGAGCAGCATATTCAGTTAAAATTTAAGTACCTAAAGACAAACTTTTAACAAAAGTTAGAGATCGAGAACAGCAACAACAAATAAGACTATCAAACATCGAAGTTCAATATTTTAAATTAAATCATTCAAATTTTGATGTTACTTAGATTATGATTATAAATTATTTAACTCTTTAGATTAATTTTGAAAAATTATGATTAAGATTACAATATTAGTAAATACTTATAGTAATAATTGTGTAATAAGTCCATTCCTAGAACCCCTCTTTTTAGGGTTCCGTAGCCAAATGGCAAAAAACGGAACCCTTATGGATTCGTCATGTCTGTCTGTCTGCCTGTCCATCCGTATGTCACAGCCACTTTTTTCCGAAATTATAAGAACTATGCTCTTGAAACTTGGTAAGTAGATGAGAGTAGATTTTGTGAACCGCATTAAGATTTTCACACAAAAATAGAAAAAAAAACAATAAATTTTGGGGGTCCCCATACTTAGAACTGAAAATAAATTTTTTTTTTCATCAAACCTATACGTGTGGGGTATCTATGGATAGGTCTTCAAAAATGATATTGAGGTTTCTTATATAATTTTTTCTAAAATGAATAGTTTGTGCGAGAGACACTTCCAAAGTGGTCAAATGTGTGCCCCCCTGTAACTTCTAAAATAAGATAATGATAAAAGTAAAAAAAATACATGATGTACATATACCATGTAAACTTCCACCGAAAATTGATTTGGACGAGATCTAGTACGTAGTTTTTTTTAATACGTCATAAATCGCAAATTATGTTACTTGCTGCAACGGAACCCTTTATGGGCGAGTCCGACTCGCACTTGGCTGCTTTTTTATATAAAGGATATATGATTTTAAAAATAGGTGATAATATGTTATTCCCGACACCCGTCTATATAATGGTTCATAAGGATTCCCATTTTGCAAAATTTATAGATTGATTGCAGTATGTCCACACCCATAAGCAAATTAAACAATGACGAATTTGTTGATGTAATTTTTTTTAAATATTGTTATAATTTACAATTATTAAATAAAGGGTACGGATTTGTTAACTCCGATCGTTATGTACTAATATTCTAGATGATTTTGAAATTCCTATAAGAACATACCTTAGCCGCGTTGAATGTTAACTTTGATTAATGATATAAATTTAACAAAGATCTGCAGCATCTATTAAAACTAGTTTCGTTAGACAAATTGTCAAAGTAGAAGTTGAGATACGTTAAGCAATAAATATATTTAAAAAAAGTAAATAGTAGGGTTTTAAGTACAAATTTTGGTGTATATTCGAACGTCAAAACAATATTAAAACTGTTAAATTAACTGATAGATACGTGAAACATATATATTCTAAAGTAGTTATGGATATAATTATATCGGTTGATATACTAGCGAACCACTGCGGCTTTGTACAGACGCAATTTACCAAAATATGTCAAATCTTATATATTCATACACGTACAAGAATTTTGACCTCTCGGTCGACGTTGAACTTACCTAGTCGGACTATTTGTCCCAGGTAAACATACCCGTCTACAACTTCGAGCTTAGTGTTCCCAACAACTACCGGCATAGGTGTAATATGGACATTAAACATGATCTTTGTTTTGTCCATGTTCATCCTAAGACCAATTCGTTGGGAGACACTATTGAGTTCATTGAGCATGGTGCTTAGGTCCTCCAGCGATTCTGCCATAAGGACTATATCGTCGGCAAATCGAAGGTGAGTGATGTACTCGCCATTGATGTTAATACCGTATCCTTTCCAGTCCAGAAGCTTGAAAACGTCTTCCAATGCAGCGGTGAAGAGTTTCGGGGAAATAACATCACCCTGTCTTACACCTCTCTGCAATTGGATAGGTTTCGTACTCTGATTCTGTACTCGGAAAGTCATCGTAGCCCTACTGTACAAGCACTTCAGTACTTCGATATACCGACAGTCAACTTGGCACCGCTGAAAGGACTGCAGCACCGCCCATATTTCGACGGAATCAAAGGCTTTCTCATAGTCCACATACGCCAGACATAGCGGCAAATTGTACTCCTCTGACTTCTGTACAATTTGCCGAAGGGTGTGTATGTGGTCTATGGTGCTAAAGCCCTTTCCGAAACCGGCTTGTTCGGGAGGCTGGAAGTCTGCGTGCAAGACGATTCGTAATGACTCTCGAAAACAGCACGTAGACGCAGCTCAGAAGGGAAATTGGTGTGTAGTTCTTCAAGAGAGCGTTGTCGTCTTTCTTTAAGAACAAGACCACCGCACTTCTGCTCCACGCCCCGGGTTTAATGCCACCATGGAGGACGGAATTAAAGAGCTTCTGAAGGACTTCAAGTACCAGTTTTCCACCCGCTTCCAGAAGCTCCGCTGTAATTCCATCCTCGCCTGGGGCCTTGCCGTTTTTAAGGTGCTGGAGAGCCATTCTAATCTCGCTCAGACTGACGTCCGGGATATCTTCGGAATAGTGTCGGATAAGACTCGCTCTTGGATCTATACTATACTAACACTTGCGTGTGGCTCCAACGATGATGTGTACAGCTGCCCATAGAACCTCTCAATCTCAAACTCCAAATCTCAGGTGCCCCGGAAATGATGCTGCCACACTCGGTCTTCAGCTTTAACAGTTGGCTCTTTCTGGCAGACAAATCTCTGGCAAAGACTTTGAAGCCTTGGTTCCGCTCGATCGCTTCTTCAATACAAGCTGTATTGAAGTTGCGTAAGTCCTGCCACATGCATTTGGAGATCTGTCTGTTCAGTTGCCTGTATGCTGTCAAATCTGTTGAAGAATGTAGCTTCATCTCCTGTCTAAGAGCCATGAGATTGAGAGTGTGATCGGAGAGTTTTTGTGTTCTTCTGCGGCGGGTCTTGCAGAACTTAGCTCCGACCGCATGGACAGTTTCCACGAACTTGTCATTCATATCGTCTACTTCATTGCAGTCTTCTAGGCACTGAAAACGGTTTTGTAACTCGAGCTGAAAGGTTTCGGGACTTTGGAACAGAGCTCGAGCAGGACGGAACGTTGACTTCATTAGACGAGACCTCTCCAACCTAACGTTTAGGTTCAGTGTACCTCTAACCATTCGGTGATCGCTACCAGTTTTCACCCTCGCGATCACGGAGACATCACTGAACAGTTGTCGTCTGGTCGTCATAATGAAGTTAATCTCATTTTTTGTCGAACCGTCGGGGCTCGACCAGGTCCACTTCCTGTGGGGCCGCTTCTGGAAGAAAGAGTTCATCATAAAGAGTCCCTCTTTCTCCATGAAGTCGGGCAGCCGCTGGCCCCTTGGGTTCCGTTGCCCTATTCCAAATTTCTATACTTTCAGCTCACCGTTCTCTCTTGTGCCTAGTTTTGCATTGAAGTCTCCCATTAACATCGTATAGTGGGTTTTGGAGGAATGCATGGCTCTAGAGATATCCTCATACATTTCCTCCACCTCCTCAATCTTTACAACGTTGTTAACGAGAGACTTGTGGACGATAAATCCGACACCTCCTTGGGACAGATGGTCGCCCTCCCGGTGATAGAGCAAGTTGCCGGATTCGAGGATTACCGTGTCCTCCCCCTCTCTTCGGACTTCGGATAATCCTATAATATGCCAGCGTAACTTGTCTATCTCTTCTTCCAGCTCCACGATCTTCTCGTCAGTCCTCAGCGTGCGTGCGTTGCCAGGTCGAGTCGTCTTAGACAGCAACCGAACCTCCATCGGAGATACTTAACAACTTAACACCCCCTGCCCCGCCGTTACCATGATCTCCACTGTAACCAGGAATAGCGGGGCCGCCGGGGACTGGGGGCCGTCTCTTAGTAACTTATCCATTTGGGGGGTATATTGCCATAGTTGCCACGCTTGGCGAGTGGGTTGACAACCGCAGTTTTTTTTACTGTAAGCTTGTTGTTATCAGGAAGATGCTGCTGCCCATCTCCTACCTGTTTCCCTTTGTCGCCTTTTACGACACCCACGGGAAGATATGGGGTAGTGGATATTCTTAACCGCCACTACACGGCTATGTATTTGATCAAGGTCAGGTCAATAGTTTTTGAGTTATTCTTAATAACTTATATTGAAGTCGGTTGTACAAAATTTTTAATTTTTAATTATATTTCATAAATATTTGCCAATAAGCTATTAAAAACTTTTTGCCTTTTAGTATTTTGTCCTAAAGAAGTGTTATCAATTGTTAAAAATACTAATTTTGCCATTTGATTAATGAAATTAGAACGTTGTTTTTGCGCCACCCTGTGAACTATAAAATTAGTGAAAAATGCACTCATACGCGTTCGTGCGTGTTTACTCAACATAATCGGCATTATTCATAAGATAACAAGTATTTGCCTTCAACAGTTGTCACGGTATTGTCCGCGGCGGCGCAGTAGCCTTTTGCGAAACGTTACTTAACCTCGGGATATAACCGACACTAATGATATAATTCTAAATAGACCAGATAAGAAAGATAGTCGTATTGTTTACAAAAGTGACTGTTAAATATTTATATATGATAACATTTTCTACAAAATAATATTTTCAAACGTTATCTTAGGGCAAAATATGTTTACACTTTGAATAA